CATGAAATAGTCAAGAGCCTATCCTTAAATCCGAGAAGCTCTATAAGCAGTGGAGTGATGAGCAAATGTTAAGAGTCCTTGCAGTGATTTTGCATTTTCTTTTGGTAAATACCTTAACTTTTACAAACAAGACCCCAGTGAGGACCACGCATATGTATTAGGTTGGCTAATAAGTAATGGCCGTTTTTTTCAATTGAAAAATTTGTTTTAAAAGTGAAACGTTTTGCAAGCAATTCATATATTCTGATAGGAAACTTCTCGTAGTATAAGAATATCAAAAAAGCTTTGGTTGAGGATATAGTTTTTGTGAATTTTTTAGTCGTTGAAGTTGGAAGTGAAGTCGGCGAAAATTAGCATCTTCGACAACTGCCTCTATTTAGAAATTTCATGCTAATAGTTGAATTAATTGAATTTGAATTTGATATTCTAATACTACGAGAGTAATTGCATTATTGATAACGACTGCTGTAAGCTTGCTTGAAGCATTTTCCCTTTGAGAAACAAATTTTCAAATTGAAAAAACTGCCATGCAGCTTATTAGCCCCACTATCAGTTATTATGCCACGCCACAGCAGCGCTGGCTAATAAGTATGCGTTTTTTTCATATCGATAACATTTTGTTTCCATAAAGTAAAAGCTTTTGCAAAGAGCTTATATGCGTTAAGTCGCGAAATTCTCGTAGTAATTACGAAATCAATTCAAATTCATTCAATTCATACTGTTAGCATGAAATTTCAGGTGGAACAGACGTGAGCCTGCCCAATATTGGCAAGGTGAAGGTTGCCAACTTTGAAATTCTTGAAATTAGTTCCAAAGCGTCCTATTGAGATTCCCTTGCTGAGACTTCTACCTCAACCTTTTCCGAATGTATGGAGCAGCTTAAGCGATTTAGCACTTCGCGTAGACTGTAAATAGAAGGTACGCAGTTTTTATGTCGAAGAGTGCTAATTTTCGCCGAATTCACTGCAATTCAACGACTAAAGAAAATTTCACGGAAAACTATATCCTCAACAAAGCTTTTTCGATATTCTTATACTACGAGAAGTTTCCTATGAGATGATATATGAATTGCTTGCAAAACGTTTCACTTTTAGAACAAATTTTTCAATTGAAAAAAACGGCCATTACTTATTAGCCAACCTAATAGTACGATTCTCCCTTACCAACACCCCACCTTCCACACCCTAGGTGTCTACTCGCCCAGGTACTGTTTCAGGTTTGACACTTTTGAATCAAAGGTTCGAACATGATTTGTAAAGTTAGCGTATCTCTCGTCGCGTCCAATTAACGCGGCCACATAGCGATTAGTGGGGACATTTACCGCGAAAACTAGCTACAAATCCGTGAAGGAGTTCAACAGTACAGGGTTGTCCAAGACCTGTTTTCTAGCCGTGGTACCTCCGCTCTTTGGAAGAATTTTGTTGATTAACGGTCCTACGTAGGTGCCTGAAAAATGAAAGCGCGTATGTTCAAAAGAGGAGGTGTGGCTTATATGGGAACATTCATATCAAGACTGCTTCTTCTAGACAAATTTTCCACAAATTTTGCTGTCGGGGGAGGGGGGGGGAGGGAAAGGTAAGCACTTTCTATAGACTCAGTAATACGTAGGAGTGATGGCAAAGTGCCAGGTAAACTTTGCTGAGCGGAGGGTTGACACTTGCGATCGACCATCAGGAATAGTTTGGAGGACCTAAACTAGGCGGTGGAGCATAGCAAATGGGAGGGATCAGAACCTGAAAAAAATTTTCTCACACCAGATACGCTTCTCTCCCCAGCGGCGGAATACGATTCCCCGAGGAATGAACACAACAATAATGTGTTTTGGTAATTAGTCATCGTCAAGGTTACAGCACTGAAAGTAGGCTGATGACCTTTTGTTTTGGTTTTCTTGGGCTAATGTAAATCAGTCCGCAAATAATTGGACGTATGTAGTTCATGTCGTCGTAGTCAGTCGGGGTGGTGTCAGGAGGGTGGGCGAGCCCGCCTCCGGCTCTCTTTTCCACAACTGTCGGTCAATGACCGACTTAGAAAAAAAACCACCAGGGCTAGGAACCGTGGGCTCATTCCATGATTCCTGGAACCCCCTCCCCCCGTATAATTACGGCGATATCAGCTGTGTGTTTGATCAACAATTTGATCTCCAAACCACACACGTGTTAACTACCGCCATACCACTTTTCCGTTGAATAAAATTTCCTTTTTGGAATTGAGTCGAGTCATTTAGAATACAGTCTATCGACTGAACAACGTACGAGCCATGCAGCCGATGGCTGCGCTAAATCACACGCGAAAGAGTCTTTTGAAATTTCAAGAGAAACTTGGAATAGAACCAGTAAGTGTTTTGTTTTTCAAGTTATAATTGGTGTCTTAGAGCTTGTCTCTTTAGGTTAACCTTGAAGAAACGCGATGGAATTTTTGGGGAGCCGTCTTCTACTGTATGACTGTCTATACTACGATTGGTAAGGATGAGATCAAGAAGTCTGTAGTGCCACATCTATGGGGTTTCGAGTGTAGTTATAGCAGTCAGGTTGATACCGCCCACAAGAAGTGGTAAAT